AGCTCTGGCTCCCTGGCTCCCAGCTCTGGCTCCCTGGCCCCCAGCTCTGGCTCCCTGGCCCCCAGCTCTGGCTCCCTGGCTCCAGGCCTGCGTGTTTGGAGGAGGAGCGAGGGGATGAACCCAGTGCCTCCGGGTTTCCTACAGGGCGACGTCCTGACCACCAAGTACCAGGTGGACCTCGGGGATGGCTCCACGCCCTTGCCCGTGAACCTCACGCTGCGAAGGGAGCGCATCCGGCACCGCTACGAGAGCCCCGGCGTCTACCGCGTGTCCGTCCGAGCGGAGAACGTGGCGGGGCGCGACGAGGCGGTGCTCTTTGTCCAGGTCAACCGTAAGTCCCGCCCCTTCGAGGCCCAGAGCCACTCCTGACAGAGAACCGGGTCCCGGGAGGTGGAGGGAACCCTCAGGGCCTCCCACCCAACCCTCAGGACGCGAGCCCATGGGCAGGGGAGGCAGGCGGCCGGGCTCCAGTCCATACCTGGTGACCTGCAGGGTTGTTGTTGTGGTGGTGGTGGTGGTGATGGTGGTGGTGATGGTGATGGTGATGATGGTGATGGTGGTGGTGATGGTGGTGGTGATGGTGATGGTGATGATGGTGATGGTGGTGGTGATGGTGGTGGTGATGGTGATGGTGATGATGGTGATGGTGGTGGTGATGGTGGTGGTGATGGTGATGGTGATGATGGTGATGGTGGTGGTGATGGTGGTGGTGATGGTGATGGTGATGATGGTGATGGTGGTGGTGATGGTGGTGGTGATGGTGATGGTGATGATGGTGATGGTGGTGGTGATGGTGGTGGTGATGGTGATGGTGATGATGGTGATGGTGGTGGTGATGGTGGTGGTGATGGTGATGGTGATGATGGTGATGGTGGTGGTGATGGTGGTGGTGATGGTGATGGTGATGATGGTGATGGTGGTGGTGATGGTGGTGGTGATGGTGATGGTGATGATGGTGATGGTGGTGGTGATGGTGGTGGTGATGGTGATGGTGATGATGGTGATGGTGGTGGTGATGGTGGTGGTGATGGTGATGGTGATGATGGTGATGGTGGTGGTGATGGTGGTGGTGATGGTGATGGTGATGATGGTGATGGTGGTGGTGATGGTGGTGGTGATGGTGATGGTGATGATGGTGATGGTGGTGGTGATGGTGGTGGTGATGGTGATGGTGATGATGGTGATGGTGGTGGTGATGGTGGTGGTGATGGTGATGGTGATGATGGTGATGGTGGTGGTGATGGTGGTGGTGATGGTGATGGTGATGATGGTGATGGTGGTGGTGATGGTGGTGGTGATGGTGATGGTGATGATGGTGATGGTGGTGGTGATGGTGGTGGTGATGGTGATGGTGATGATGGTGATGGTGGTGGTGATGGTGGTGGTGATGGTGATGGTGATGATGGTGATGGTGGTGGTGATGGTGGTGGTGATGGTGATGGTGATGATGGTGATGGTGGTGGTGATGGTGGTGGTGATGGTGATGGTGATGATGGTGATGGTGGTGGTGATGGTGGTGGTGATGGTGATGGTGATGATGGTGATGGTGGTGGTGATGGTGGTGGTGATGGTGATGGTGATGATGGTGATGGTGGTGGTGATGGTGGTGGTGATGGTGATGGTGATGATGGTGATGGTGGTGGTGATGGTGGTGGTGATGGTGATGGTGATGATGGTGATGGTGGTGGTGATGGTGGTGGTGATGGTGATGGTGATGATGGTGATGGTGGTGGTGATGGTGGTGGTGATGGTGATGGTGATGATGGTGATGGTGGTGGTGATGGTGGTGGTGATGGTGATGGTGATGATGGTGATGGTGGTGGTGATGGTGGTGGTGATGGTGATGGTGATGATGGTGATGGTGGTGGTGATGGTGGTGGTGATGGTGATGGTGATGATGGTGATGGTGGTGGTGATGGTGGTGGTGATGGTGATGGTGATGATGGTGATGGTGGTGGTGATGGTGGTGGTGATGGTGATGGTGATGATGGTGATGGTGGTGGTGATGGTGGTGGTGATGGTGGTGGTGGTGGTGATGGTGGTGATGGTGGTGGTGGTGCTGATGTTAGGTTGAGGATATCAGTGACCAACAAGCAGCCTTGAAAAGCTGAGTGCCCTGATGCCCTCTGACCCCGACCTTTCTCTGGACCGTGCAGCCCCCCTGCAGGCCCTCTACCTCGAAGTGGTTCCTGTCGTCGGCATCAACGAGGAGGTGAACCTCACAGCCGTGCTGCTGCCCCTGAACCCCAACCTCACTGTCTTCTACTGGTGGATTGGCCTCAGTCTGCAGGTGCGCCGACCCCAGACCTTGGTGGCCCCTGCGTCCCACAGGCTCGCACAGGGCTGGAGTGAGGGCAGGACGCCGCCTGGGCGTTGGGCAGGACAGTGTAGGCCACCATGGAGCTGAGCGGGCACGCGCACACCTTTCCTTCCACTGTGGCCAATGAATCAGACCAGACCCTCCTATTCCCCAGGGAAGGAGATGCGAGCGAGTAGGTGACCTGAGTTAGGGTGTCACAGGTGTCATGGGAAGGGGGCAGGGACGGTGTCCGAGAGCTCCAGGGAGACAAGGCCACTTTTAGTCTGGGGGAGGGGTGGTCAGGGAAGGCTCATGGAGGAGGCAGTCACTGGGACTGAACCTGAGCTCAGAAGCCTCACTCAGAGCCCATGGACAGAATGCCTTCGGGGGGTTTGGGGGGGAGGCTTTCTCAGGGCCGGCTGCCCGTCCGTGGGCTGGGGCTGGATGGGGGCCTCAGGATCCCAGGAAACGCAGCCTTCACTCACAGCCAAGTGCAGCCT